CTTGCAGATGTTGTAAGGTTATAAAGAGCATAATAAATTTTTAGTCAAAATATATTTGGTTATCTTCTACAAAAAACTGATGACGTCAGCTCAAAAGTTTGCCGAATAAATCGTATCTAAAATGTACAAAATATGATGAGTCTGTACTTGTGATTTATCATTCCATTCATATTTTTGGATTTGCATATGCAGGGTGACTCAAAAAAATTAATGAAGGCGTGAATTTATTTTATCGATTTAATCAGGAATTACAAAACCGAATGCTTTGAAATCTTGGGAATATTTTAAAGTTATTATAAGCATGGTAAACTTTTGTTCAAAATGTATTTGTTCATCCCTCCTAAAAAAATTGATGACGTCACCCTTAAATTTTGCTGAATAAATCCTATCTAAAATGCAAAAAATATGATGAGTTTGTACTTGTGATTTATCATTCCATTCATATTTTTACTTCCCGAGCGTAAGCAAAGGAAGTATTGTAATCGAGTCCGTCGGCCGACTCTCTACTTTTACGTTTTCTCGATCTTTCATGACCCCTAGAAGACGAAGAAATAGGTCTCCCATTTCCGTCTGTCTGTCCGTCTGTCCGTCTGTCCGTCTGTCCGTCCGTCTGTCCGTCTGTCCGTCTGTCCGTCTGTCCGTCTGTTGTCACGGATTTTTATTAGACAGATAATCTCCGAAAGTACTCGACCGATTGTTGTGAAATTTTGTACTTATATTAAGAATATCATGTAGATGGTAAAACGCTAACCAAAATTTGTCGAATCATCCCCACCACTAAAGCGATGACGTCACTTCAAAATTGTACATAGTAAATGGGTTTTCAATTGTATAAAATAACATAGTCCTACACATGTAGTTTACAACTCTGAATCGACTTTTCACCCGAAACGTCCAGATTTTTGGAAAAAAAATCAAAATTATAAAACAACATTTTGCAATTTAATTTTGAATCTGCTAACCCGAATGTTTTAAAATGTTGCAGATGTTTTAAGGCTATAAAGAGCATCATAAATCTTTAGTCAAAAAATATTTGCTTATCCCCTCCAAAAACTTGATGACGTCAGCTCAAAAGTTTGTGGAATAAATCATATCTAAAATGTACAAAATATGATGAGTCTGTACTTGTGAACTATCACTCCATTAATATTTTTTGGATTTGCATATACAGGGTGACTCAAAAAAATTAATGAATGCGTAAATATATTTTATTGATTTAATCAGGAACTACAAAACCGAATGCTCTGAAATCTTGCAGATGTTTTAAGGTCATAAAGAGCATAATAAATGTTTAGTCAAAATATATTTGCTTATCCCCTCCAAAAACTTGATGACGTCAGCTCGAAAGTTTGCCGAATAAATCATATCTAAAATGTACAAAATATGATGAGCCTGTACTTGTCATTTATCACTCCATTCATATTTTTTGGATTTGCATATACAGAGTGACTCAAAAAAATTAATGAATGCGTAAATTTATTTTATTGATTTAATCAGGAACTACAAAACCGAATGCTTTGAAATCTTGCAGATGTTTTAAGGTTATAAAGAGCATAATAAATTTTTAGTCAAAATATATTTGGTTATCTTCTACAAAAAACTGATGACGTCAGCTCAAAAGTTTTCCGAATAAATCGCATCTAAAATGTACAAAATATGATGAGTCTGTACTTGTGATTTATCATTCCATTCATATTTTTGGATTTGCATATGCAGGGTGACTGAAAAAAATTAATGAAGGCGTGAATTTATTTTATCGATTTAATCAGGAATTACAAAACCGAATGCTTTGAAATCTTGGGAATATTTTAAAGTTATTATAAGCATGGTAAACTTTTGTTCAAAATGTATTTGTTCATCCCTCCTAAAAAAATTGATGACGTCACCCTTAAATTTTGCTGAATAAATCCTATCTAAAATGCAAAAAATATGATGAGTTTGTACTTGTGATTTATCATTCCATTCATATTTTTTAGATTTTCTTAAGAGGTGGTTCAAAAAAATTAATGAAGTCAATTTATTTTATTGATTAAATTAAAGGCAACACTTATTATTAGTATTACACCCCAACCAACCCAATTCGGTAGACACAAAATTTGTTAAAGGAAAAACTCGGTTGAAACATAAGGGTAGCACGCTTATTTACATCGACTTTAACGTTACAGATCTGCATTTGTTTTATGCGGTCACTAGGTTCCGCGAATGCGAAATAGACATGTTTATAATCAACCAATTGTGAATTTCACCGTCAAGAATTAAAATAAAACCCAATGTTTTATATAATAAGCGGAAGTCGAAGCAATAAAACCGACGGTCGTTTTGTTTACAGTTTCTGTGTTTGGCTCTCACGTATGCTGTTACGCCTGTCATCTTAAATTAACAATGTTTATACATACACGATTTTTAGTTGCCTCTGATACGTAGGTATACGTGAGTAAATTGTTTCGTTATTTTATTGATTATTACAAATCAATATTCAAACGACCCAATTCATTTTCCCGAAAATTTGAGAATATAATAATTTTATTCTTAGTATTACACTACATCTATCCCAACTGATATACGTGTCCTTGCAAAAATGTTGATGACGTCATCGCAATTTTTTTTTAAATTCCCACTACAAAAATGTAATGAGAAAAAAAACACAATAGGCATGCAGTCGTCAAGTTTCCGACAGCGAGGGAAGTACTGTCTAAACTCTTTAGACCAATTTTTTAGATTTTCTTAAGAGGTGGTTCAAAAAAATTAATGAAGTTAATTTATTTTATTGATTAAATTAAAGGCAACACTTATTATTAGTATTACACCCCAACCAACCCAATTTGGTAGACACAAAATTTGTTAAAGGAAAAACTCGGTTGAAACATAAGGGTAGCACGCTTATTTACATCGACTTTAACATTACAGACCTGCATTTGTTTTATGCGCTCACTTGGTTCCGCGAATGCGAAATAGACATGTTTATAATCAACCAATTGTGAATTTCACCGTCAAGAATTAAAATAAAACGCAATGTTTTATATAATAAGCGGAAGTCGAAGCAATAAAACCGATGGTCGTTTTGTTTACAGTTTCTCTGTTTGGCTCTCACGTATGCTGTTACGCTTGTCATCTTAAATTAATAATGTTTATACATAAACGATTTTCAGTTGCCCCTCATATTACTAGACAGCGGATTTCTGTCGGGCTACGTCACGATTATAGTGGGGGGGACGTGCTGGATTCCATAAATATAATTAACGATTTATTAATCAAACGGCTAAGTAAATGAGAACGGGAATTAACAGCAGAGTGCAACGAAACAACGTTATTCTAATCTCAAATAAACGAAGTGCAGTCCGCAACGGCAATGAATTCGCATCCCGTGCGAGCCGTACCGAGTTTGGCCTTGCCTAGCCCGACAGAAATCCGCTCTCTAGATATTACACACCGGCGCCGTATACGTGAGTAAATTGTTTCGTTATTTTATTGATTATAAGAAATCAATATTCAAAACGACCCAATTCATTTTCCCGGAAATTTGGGAACACAATAATTTTATTCTTAGTATTACACTACATCTATCCCAACTGATATACGTGTCCTTGCAAAAATGTTGATGACGTCATCACAATTTTTTTTTTAAATTCCCACTACAAAAATGTAATGAGAAAAAAAAACATAATAGGCATGCAGTCGTCAAGTTTCCGACAGCGAGGGAAGTACTGTCTAAACTCTTTAGACCAATTTTTCTAACCATATGGTCGGTCATAAAACGCAAGAAAAATATTCTTATAAAATTTATGAAAATTCTTGTTACATATAGATACGTTTTTATTTTGATAAGGTAAAAACGTGTGCTTAATTTACCGATTGATAAGACCTTTTATAATAACAACCGGTTATGTAGATAGTGCGATAATGTTAACTTTTCATTTTGCTGAAATAAATTCCTATTGGAATATTCACGACAATGTTTGTAAAATTCAAACTCAAGAATTACAAGGCAAAATCAGGACTCCTCTCCAGTTTAAAATGAATTAAAAATAGTAGTGAATTTTTGTCATATTAAAATAGAATAGAATTCTTTATTTGAAAATTAAAAAATAACTCTCCAGTTTGTTATTTTTATTTTATTCTCACTACCTTGTGGTATTAATACTCCATAATAAAATTATTAGTAACTGATTTTATGAATGGAGAATTACTTACACCGAACTTCCGTCACTTCTGAATAAAAAAAAAGCGTATAAACTTTACATATTACAGCATTTTCCGTACTTATAGTGCTTATCAAAAGAATTTTTTGCACGAATGCTTTTCAGTTAATGGTGCACACAGTCATTAAATATTACTTATTTAAAACAATTACTTAGATAACAACCCATTTAAGCTCGATAAAACCCAATACCGAAGAATATAAAATAAAATAACCACGAAATTTAAAATAATCGTCACCTGGGAATTTCTCGTTTTTCCTCAGTGTTCATCAGCACTTCTCTGGAAACGTTTTTCGCAAATTTCTCTTGATATGATGTACTAGTTTTGTTGTTTCTGATAGAGTGGAAGAAAAATCTTCTTCTTCAAACATTTTGGATAAACTATTCTAAACTGAAACCGTTGTTTGGAAAAATCACCTAGGCAACGCTGACGTAACACAATTAGTGTCAACTAGATGATTTCAATTAGATTTCTGTAATTTCTTGCAATCGTCTAGTGTAATAAAAATGCAAACAAAAAAAATTGAAAAAAGGGTCTTGTGATATAATACCGCTTAAAAACTATTATATCTATTTACATACTGCAATTTACATTGCAGAGCATTTTAAAACATTGATAAGAAAAATATGAGTGTCCAGTTAATTTTGCAGTCAAGTGTATATATTACTCGTCGCCTTATCACTTAACAGCCAAGTAGCTAATCTTAATCGAACAGTACAATAGCCTTCGTAACGTAAAAACGTTTTCACCTACATATAACATTCCACACCCAATCCAAACACATAGGTATATAAAAGAAAATGCAACTTCGCTCCATTTTCCTCATTGCAGCGATTTTCCTATCCCACAATCCGTATGCAGAATCTAAGTTCTTCAAACCAAAAACTCTGCTGAATTTTTTCGTCCAGCCAATGATTCACGTAGTTAATTCAAGTTTGAACGGAACAAAATGCGCCGAAGATTTAAGAAAAATAGTTTCTGGGGTGTACAACATGGAAATCTGGGCTATGGAAAGTGAGTTCCATTATTTTCGCGAGCGTTTCCACATTAATCGTTTTAGTGCTTGATGCCAGTAGTAAATTCGACATGGGATTGCTCACCGGAAATACTAAGCTTTATGGAAACTACGACCTGTGTATTTCAGTCCAGAACAATGTTAAGGGAAGCGCGGTGGATGGCCAGTACTGTACCATTCCTTTTACGCTAGACGACTATTTGAAGAAAGATTTATACAATGCTGTAAGTAGTCGACTCTGGATTCAAATGTGAAAATTGGAGCTTTCAGGTGGCGATCTACCAGAAAAACAAACCCCACGAGAGTGTCATCATCGACCAGATGACCTACTACTACGGTCTTTGCATCCCTACATCTTGCACTCTGCCAAATGTGGCCAAAATATGGTCCAAACTAAAAATTCTCCTGCACCTTCCAGCACAGACAAAATTTCAAGAATCGCAATGTTACACCAAAGACCGGAAAATCCAACCCAGCAAAATCGACCCCTACATCTTGTAAGATCTGATCACCTCCACCACCCCGAAAAAAATTTTCAAAAGTTTTCTCTTTTCGTGTATTTTCATCTTGGAGCTGGCCAGCACGATCTACGACGTGTACATCCGCAGCAAAAAAAAGGAACCCAATATTTTCGTGTGCGCCTCTTGGTACACCAACACGAAAAAGCTGTTGTCGACTCATTGCGAAAACGACACCCTGAAGTGTTTGTACGGGGTTAAAGTCATCAGCTCTGTGTGGATAATTGTTACGCACCTCGCAATAACTAAAGTCCATTTTAGTGTTAACCCGCTTTATGCGGCGTTCGAGGTGAGTGGTGGTTTGGGGGAGGGTTTTTGACTCATAGAGGTTTTAGTGGTTGCATCGGGTGGAGAATTCCGTGTTTTCAGCAACTCCTTTTGCCGTAGACACGTTTTTTAGCATTAGTGGCATGTTGGTTGTTGTTGTTGGTTTGAAGGTTTTTGATATGAGGCCGGTTCATTGGGCTCTTTTGTATATGCACAGGATTTTGAGGTTTGAGGAGATGGGGGTGGGTAGTTTGAGGTAGGTAATTATTTTTGCTTTTAGAATAGGGCCGGCTTTATTGGCGATTATTGCTGTTAATGTCACTTTTGTTAAGTACATGGTTGAAGGGCCGTACGTTGTGCATATTCTGCATGAATTGAAGACACAGTGTGAAAACAACTGGTGGACTACTTTGTTTTTTGTCAATAACTTCGTGAGGAATAGCGAACGGGTAAATAATCAAAATAATCCGTCTGCCTGTCTGTTTATCCCCTCCAAAACATACTTGGTCAGATTTTCCAAATTATTGATCTTCATTTTACCGTTGTTTGATATTTGAATTTTAGAGTTTTTTCGATTTTGGAATTTACAGGTATCAGATTTTTCAATGTTTTGAATTTTACGATTACCATTATTCGATTTTTCAATTTTAAAATTTTGCAATTTTTCATTTTTACAGTTTAATCATTTTTCGATTTTATAATTACCCGATTTTTCACTTTTGTAATTTTACAAATTTACAATTTTTTGAGTTTTAATTTTTCAAAATTTCAGTTTTAATTTTTTTAATTGTTCAGTTTAATTATTTACAACTTTTTGTTTTTAAGAACATCGGTTTTTTCAACTTTTGATTTGTCAACTACTCGAATTTCATTATTGTTTGGATTTTCCAATTTTTTGATTTTTCAATATTAAATTTTCCTATTTCCCAATTTTTCAATTTTTGTGTTTTGAAATCCTTCGATTTTTCAATTTCTTGATTTTTCAATTTAATAATTTTGCAATTTTTCATTTGTATAGTTTTAATAAATTTTCGAGTTTTTCAATTATCCGATTTTTAACTTTGCATTTATACAATTTTTCAGTTTTTCGAATTTTAATTGTTCAAAATTTCAATTTTAATATTTTAGTTTAATTATTTTACACTTTTTCGTTTTCAGAAGTACCCAGTTTAATTTTCAATTTTATAATTTTTCGTTTAAAAAATTTTTCCCTATTTCAAGTTCAGATTTTCCAGTTTTTGATTGTAATTTTTCAAAATTTCTATTTCCGATGTTCCAAGTTTTTGCTTTTCCAGTTTTATAGTTTTCCAGTTTTACAGTCATCCGAGTTTTGAATTTTTTATTTTAAAATTATTGGATTTTCAATTTTATGTTTATGCAATTTTTACTTTTATAATTTAATAATTTTTCGATTTGACAATTCTCCAGTATTTTTATTTTGTAATTTTGCAATTTTTTATTTTTATTATATTTATTTCGTATTTTTACGTTTTTTCGATTTCCCAAATATTCGGTTTTTAAATTATCAATTTTCAGTTTTCGATTTTTGATTGTTCAATATCAGATTTTCCAATTTCTCGAGTTTTAAATTTTTTGGTTTTTATGTTTTTCATTTTTGTTCCATTTTTCCAAATTTTTTATTTTAATTTTTCAAAATTTCAATCTCCAGTTTTCCAAGTTTTTGGTTCTGTAATTTTATAGTTTTGCAATTTTACTGTCATCGGAGTTTTGATTTTTTTTATTTTAAAATTACTGGATTTTCAATTTATGCAATTTTTTACTTTTACAGTTTACTAATTTTTCGATTTTACAATTATCCAGTATTTTTATTTTGTAATTTTGCAATTTTTATTTTTCAGTTATATATTTTACGTTTTTTCGATTTTCCAAATATTCGGTTTTTAATGAATCAATTTTCAGTTTTTGATTTTTTAATATCAGGTTTTCCAATGTCTCGATTTTTCAATTTTTCGGTTTTTCATTTGGTCTAGTTTTCAATTTTTTTATTTTAATTTTTCAAAATTTCGATCTCGAATTTACCAACTTTTTGGTTGTTCAGTTTTATAATGTCGCAATTTTACGGTCATATGAGTTTAGAGTTTTTTGATTTAAAAATTAATGGATTTTCAATTTTATATTTATGCAATTTTTCACTTTTACAGTTCAATAATTTTTCAATTTTACAATTATCCGGTTTTTTATCTTTCAGTTTTATATTTTTACATTTTTTCGATTTCCCAAATATTGGGCCTTTAATGAATCGATTTTCAGTTTTCAGTTTTTGATTATTCAATATTAGAGTTTAAAATTTTTCGTTTTTTCAATTTTTCATTTTTACATTTTTCATTTGTTCAATTTTTTAATTTTTGGATTTTTTGATTTTAATTTTCCAAAATTTCGATCTCTAATTTTCTCAATTTTTAGTTGTTCAGTTTTATAGTTTTGCAATTTTACAGTCATCTTTCCAAAATTTCGATCTATAATTTTCTCAATTTTTAGTTGTTCAGTTTTATAGTTTTGCAATTTTACAGTCATCTGAGTTTAGAATTTTTTGATTTAAAAACTATTGGATTTTCAATTTTATATTTATGCAATTTTTCACTTTTACAATTTAATAATTTTTCAATTTTACAATTACCCAGTGTTTTAATTTTTGATCTTACAATTTTTTATTTTTCAGTTGTATATTTTTACGATTTCTTTATTTCCCAAATATTCGGTTTTTAATTAATCAATTTTCAGCTTTCAATTTTTCAGTTTTACATTTTTACAATTTTTGAGTGCCTCAATTACTCTCTTTTTCTCAATTTTCGCTTTTATAAATGTTCGTATTTTCAGTTATCCAATTTTCGATTTTTTATTGTCCGATTTTTGTTTTGTTTCGATTTACAATTTCTTTTTATTTTAATTTTCAAAATTTCAGTTTTCAATTCCCAAGTTTTTGAGTTTACACTTTCATAATTTTTTTTTATAATTATCTGAGTTTTCAATTATTGAGTTTTCATTTTTATAATTCTTCGTTTTAATTTTTTTCCCTTTTTTCAGTTATTCAATTTTTGATATTTCGATTATCTGAATTTCATTGTTTCGATTTTCCAATTTTTGATATTAATTTATCAAAATTTCGAGATCCAATTGTCCGGTTTTTCAGTTTTATAATTTCGCAATTTTACAGTCATCTGAGTTTACAACTTTTTTATTTTAAAATTATTGGATTTTCAATTTTATATTTTTTACGCAACTTTTGACTTTTACAGTTGAATAATTTTTCGCTTTTACAATTATCCAGATTTTAATTTTGTAATATTGCAATTTTTTATTTTTCAGTTTTATATTTTTACGTTTTTTCGATTTCCCAATTATCGGTTTCAGTTTTCAATTTTTTATTTTTTAGTATCAGATTTTACAATTTCTCAATTTTTGAATTTTTCAATTTTACAATTTTTGGATGTCTCATTTATTCGCTTTTTATTAATGAAATTCTCAGTTTTCAATTTTAAAATTATAAGAATTTTCAGTTTCGTAATTTAACAAGTTTTTGATTTTTTAATGTCAGATTTTCAAATTTTTCAATTTTTCGGTTTTGGAATCTTCCGATTTTCAATTCTTCCGTTTTTCATTTTCCAATTGTTCGTTTTTTCAATTTAATAATTTTTCAATTTTTCATTTGTACAGTTTAATAAATTTTCTATGTAGTTTATAATTATTCGATTTTTAATTGTTCAAAATTTCATTCTTAATTTTTCAGTTTAATTATTTTATTATTTGTTGGTTTGTGAATCCATTTTCAATTTTATAATTCTTTGTTTTTAAAGTTTTCCCTTTCAATTATCAATTTTTGATTTTTTAATTATGCGAATTTCATTGTTTCAATTTCCTAATTTATTGATTTTAATTTGTCAAAATTTTCATTTTCCAATCTTCCAAGTTTTTGGTTTTTGAGATTTACAGTTTTGCAATTTTTCGATTTTTCAATTTTGTAATTTTTCTATTTTACTATTATCGGGATTTTTCAATTTTCTCAGTTTTACATTTTAAGAATTTTTCAATTTTACATTTATCCAGTTTTTCAATTTTGTAATTTTGCAAATTTTTGATTTTCAGTTTTATAAGTATTTTTATATTTTTTCTCAGTTAATTATCTGGTGTTTTATGTTTTAAAATTTTTGATTTTTCAATATCAGATTTTCCAATTTCTCGAGTTTTAAATTTTTTGGTTTTGTATTTTTCATTTTTGTTCTATTTTTCAGTTTTTTTATTTTAATTTTTCAAAATTTCGATGTCCAATTTTCCAAGTTTTTGGTTCTTCAATTTTATAGTTTTGCAATTTTACAGTCACCTGAGGTTTGAATTTTTTGATTTAAAAATTATTGGATTTTCAATTTTATATTTATGCAATTTTTCACTTTCCCAGTTTAATAATTTGTCAATTCTACAATTATCCACTGTTTTAATTTTGTGATTATACAATTTTTTATCTTTCAGTTTTATATTTTTACGTTTTTTTGATTTCCCAAATTTTCGGTTTTTAATTAATCAATTTTCAGTTTTCGATTTTTGATCTATCAATATCAGATTTTACGATTTCTCAATTTTTCAATTTTTCATTCAACTTTTAGATGTCTCATTTATTCGCTTTTTATTAATGAATTTCTCAATTTTCAATTTTATAATTCTTCATTTTTTCAGTTATCCAATTTTTTATTTTTTGATTGTTCGATTTTTGTTTGCGTTGTTTCGATCTTCCAATTTCTTGATTTTAATTTTTCAAAACTTCGATTTTCAATTTTCCAAATTTTTGATTTTACCATTTCATAATTTTTCTATTTTACAGTTATCTGATTTTTCAATTTTTCCATTTTCAATTTTATATTTTTGCAATTTTTTAGCTTTACAGCTTAATAGTTTTTCAATTTTACAATTACACAATTTTTCGATTTCCAAATTGTCTGGTTTTCATGAATCAATTTTTCAATTTTCGTTTTTATAATTCTTCGTTTTATAAATGTTTCCTTTTTTTCAGTTACTTAGTTTTTAATTTTTCAATTATCTGATTTCATTGTTTCGATTTTCCAATTTTTTGATTTTAATTTTTCAAAATTTCGATTTCCAATTTTCCAACTCTTTAAATTTTCAATTTCATTATTTTGCAATTTTTCAACTTTTTAATTTTGTTAGTTTTCTCTTTTACAGTTGTCTGATTTTTGATCTTTTCAGTTTTAAAATTATAGGATTTTTCAGTTTCGTAATTTTGCAATTTTTTGATTTCTCAATGTCAGATTTTCAAATTTTTCGGTTTTGGAATTTTCCGATTTTCAATTCTTTCGTTTTTCATTTTCCAATTGTTCGTTTTTTCAATTTAATAATTTTTCATTTGTACAGTTTAATAAATTTTTTATGTAGTTTATAATTATTCGATTTTTAATTGTTCAAGATTTCAATCCTAATT